GCAAAAGGCTAAATGCATGTTTCTGGTCCCATAGGCAGCATTGCTGCTTTCAAACCTGAAGCATCCCCCTTGGTGCCCCCCTGGCCTGGCTGGGGTTTCCCATGAGCTAAAATGCAGGACATTTTGAAGAGGCTGTATGACAAGGCAGGGGTAGGTTGTCCCTTTCCTGTGATGAACGGGGCAGAAACAAAGATGTGTGGAAAACAGACACATTTTCATTTCCCTGAGTAGCAGTACATGTGGAAGTGCATTGAGGGGCTGAAAAATAATAAACAGGAGTATCTCTTCCTGTGGGAAGGTTTGGAGCTGTATCTTCTAGCCAAGGAGGAGACACCAATGCTGGGAAACAAGCAACGCCCTGAGCTCCTGTAGGGAACCAGCTAGGATGTAGTTCATTTTCCCCCTGTCAGCCCTCAAACCAGCTCTGTGTTGGGAGCGAGAAAGGTGCTGATGATAACACACCAGTGCTTTGGACACCGCTGACCAGAGCTCATGCAGCACCAGGGCCATCTCTCCAGCATTGCCCCCTCACCTGCCAGCAGCGGGTGGGCAAAGTCTTGGGAAGGGACAAGAGAGCTGACCAAAACTGACCAAAGGGATATTCCAGACCATATGAAGTCTGCTCAGCAATAAAAGCTAAGAGAAAGGAGGAGAGGGGGGGAGGGGTGGGCGTTCATTATTACAATGCTTGTCTTCTGGAGCAACCCCTCTGCATACTGAAGCCCTGCTTCCCAGGAGCTGGCTGGACGTTGCCTGCTGATGGGAAATAGAGAATAAATCTTTTGTTTTCCTTTGTTTCTGCATGCAGCCTTTGCATTTGCTTTCATTCAACTGCCTTTATCTTGACACGCAAGGTGTTTTTTTTCCATCTTAACCGTCTCCCTGCCCTGTCCTGCTGCAGAGAGGAAGGACAGAGCACCTTGGTGGGTGCTCGGTGTCCAGCCAAGGTCAACCTGGGGCTCAAGACAACAGCCATTTTGTATTATGCATGCCATAGCTGTAGCAGTTAGTAAGTGGCAAGCCCCGGTGTGGGTCAGGGAGTTTGTTGGCTCCGTTGCTTATCTCTGTATTTTGCTGAGCTTGGGAACATGCTGGTACAAACAAGAGCTCTGTGCTTTGCCCTGGCATCATTGTGCTCCAGAGCTATCTTGTGAAGAGGGTGAAGGAGCACATCTCCCTCTTCCTGCCAGGGACTGATGTAGATTGTTTTATTATGCAGGGCCCGGGGTCCTTGTTCACTCTTACGTGAGCTGTTTGATGCTACTAATTAACGCTGTGAGCACGTGATGGGGTTTGTTGAATCTGGTGTCAACCCGGTGTAAGAAAAGGCAACTTTTAGGTGAGGTGATACTGAAAGGTGCCCTGCGGTGGCCGGTCCCTGTGTGGCACGCTGTGTGGAAGGATTTGGACAGGTTGCTAGGGCAGTTATCACCTCCCATAACCCGGGACTTAACACCTGAACAGGCAAGCAACGCTGGCAAACCAGTGCTCCATGTACTGGGACCTGACCTGTGCCTACCGAGCCACGGTTCAGTACTCTCAGAGGACTGTGGCTGAGACAGGAACCCAAACAACAACCACCCTGCAGTTGCACTGGTGGAGTTCACCGTCGTAAGGGATACCTGTCAGACAAGGAGTGAAGAGGGTGAAGCCATGGAAAAGCTCTCACAGCAAGTTGTCCCCATCATGTTAAAGGGGATGGGACCAACTCCAAAGGCGCTGGACCCAATGGAGGATCACTGGGTCATCAGAGAGGGGTAATGAAGGGAATCCTTTTTTTGATAGAAGTCTTTTGAGAGCAGAATTGGTTAAGACAACTCCCTGAAAGGAGGGTATAGCCGGGGGGGGGGGGGGGGGTCGGTCTCTTCTCCCAAGTCCAAGGCGATGGGAGAAGAGGAGATGGCCTCAAGCTGCACCAGGGGAGGTTCAGATTGGAAATTAGGGAACATTTTGACACAGAAAAGGTTATGAAGCCTTGTAATGGGCTGCCCAGGGAAGTGGTAGAGGCCCATCCCTGGAGGTATTTAAAAGATGGGTAGCCATAGTGCTAAGAGATGTGGGTTTTTTTGTTTTTATCAGAATTAAGTTGATGGTTGGACTAGATGATCTTAAAGGTCCCTTCCAACCTCAAAAATTCTATGATTCTATGATTTCTGTCTGGCACTTTCAGTGGAGCGTTGGAGAATCAGAAGAAACCCTACAGCAGCCAATTTTGACTTTAACCCATTCCCCCTTTCCACACTTCACCAACAGGCAACAAGATCACAAGGTGGCTAGATGCATTTGGAAGTATTTGTTGGAAAACAAACACTCTGGTGACAACAACATCTTCATTTGCACACAAACCAGCATTTACTGGAGTCATTCCTGGGCTCTGGATGGCTGTTTTGCTCAAACACACCCAGCAGCAGCCGCACGGGCACAGCACTTACCTGGAATGCAGGAGAGCACAGGGAAAGCATCACTCTGAGGAAGAGCAAGGAAGCACAGGCAAAGCAGAAGAGCTCTGGCACAAGATTGGGAAATCCTTCTTAACTCTTTGGGCCTGGTGGCTATAAAAAAAGCAATGCAGAATCGGGCAGATCCTGCCCCAGCTAAATCCTGCTGGCTTTTTCTGGGCAAAACTTGGGCAGAAAATGAACCTTTGCCCACCCAAACCTATACACCAACCCTCTGCCACCAAGAGCAACCACCAAGGGATGAGATATTGCGGTGAAATCCATCTGCAGTCAAGTTGGGGGAATTCTCACCTACTCCACAACCTTGCTAGACGTGTGCTTGTTTATTTAAAGAAGGCTGCAGAATGGATGTGCAGAATGGGTGTCATGCCCAAATCCTGGTTCTCACAGGCATTGCTGGCCAAGCCAACAGCGCAGGTGGATAACCAGCGGCAGAAATGACATCAAGTGGATGCATCAGTGCTGGAAAATCTATGTTAATTTTCTACAAGGGTAATGTGTATTCCCTGCCAGGTTACAGAGAAGCTTGGGAACACCACACTGCACGATGCACAGGGTTCATCTCTTTTTCAGTCACCTGGCTGTAGGAGGAGTCCTTATCAAGTGGTCAAAAGAAGCTACAAATCCTTTCGGCATGTTTGCTGCCAGTATCTGCTGAATTGGATAGGAAGGGTTGCCAAAAAAGGAACTGATGGTGACTTGTCTTCAGGGACCACTCACTGGTGCTGAAGCCCAGCACCAGAAGGAAAAGCCAATGGGCAATGCATTGAGCTGCTCCCTGAATTAAAGCTGGGGGTGGGTGGGGAGGAGTTGATGGGAATTAATTGCTCTTTTCAGAGGACAGAAAAGCAAAGGGATTGTGTCCCTGTTTGACTTGTGCTCCTCAAAAACCTCCCATCCCTGTATTTTAAAGTCTTAAAACTTTTCCAGCCGAAATTGAGATGGATTTCAGTAACACCAAAGTCCAGCCCCCCGGCAAAGATCTTGGTTTCCATTTGTCCATGACCCAGGCAATTGCCAGGTCCATCTCCACCTTAAGCTGTCCTTTTCCAGCCCTTTCTGCTGGAGACACCTCTTTGAAATTTCAGCCTCCTGGAGTCTGCACTGGATGCGTTAAGGTTTACCCCACCACACACAAACCAGGCTCGTCTGTCCTCCTACAGACTCCCTCAAACTAAACAACTCCAAGTTCAATTACAAGAGAAGATGGTTTTATTGGCACAATGTGGGAAGAGCCCTTCACTCCATTTGCTTCAATCAAGGCAGCACAAGACCAGATTTCAGCTTTTTTACTGACTTCTTGCTCCACACTGGCTGTGCTCATGTCTGCTGAGCACCAATGGTGAAGGTCCACCTGTGCCCAAGCAGCACCAGCTTCACTGCTCAAGGCAGATGCAGACAAGGCACCAGTGCCCCAGGGCAAAGGGACAATGAAGGTGGTGGTTTGGGAACAGGATGGCCTCTGGAAGTTGCCCAAGGATCTCACCACAGAAAGTTCACAAGGCAAGCAGGGGTGCTCAGTCTCCAGGAGACCACCCCCCCCCTCAGCTACGCTTCTCCAGAAGTGAAGGCTGAAGAATCACCGTAGATGCACCATCCCCGAGTGGTGTCGTGGTCTGGGGGAAACGCAGCTGAAGTGCTGGAGGGTGGGAAATGTGGGATGCCCGATGGTCAGGGCAAACCTGGACACCCCACGCACCCCTCCCCGCAGCGTCAGCACCAGCACAAGCCACCACCCATCCTGAAAAGCTGGTGGTGCTGAGGGGATACTCACAGGGAAGGAGAGGAACGAGGCAGCACAGGAGCCACAGCCCGGAGTCAGCACTGACACACAACAACTTTGTCCCGTATCTGCTCCCCCCGTGCCCTCCTCCAGAGCAGCCCCTGAGCTCCTGCCCTGCTGTGCCCCCTCAGCGCGCCGTATACTCACACCTGGAGTGTTGTGTCCAGTTTTGGGCACCTCAATCCAAGAGAGATCTGGAGGTGCTGGAGCGAGTGCAGAGGAGGGCAACGAAACTAGTGAAGGGCCTGGAAGACAAATCGTATGAAGAGCGGCTGAAGGAGCTGGGGCTGTTTAGTATGAGGAAGAGGAGGCTGAGGGGAGACCTCATCACTCTCTACAACTACTTGAAAGGACACTGTAGAGAGGTTGGTGCTGGTCTCTTCTCACAGGTAATTAGTGACAGAACGAGAGGGAACGGCTTCAAGCTCCAACAGGGGAGGTTTAGATTGAACATTAGGAAGGAATTTTTCACCGAAAGAGTGGTCGGGCATTGGAACAGGCTGCCCAGGGAGGGGGTGGAGTCACCATCCCTGGATGTGTTTAAGGGCCGTTTAGATGCAGTGCTGAGGGACATGGTGTAGGGGAGGACTTTGTAGAGTAGGGGAGATGGTTGGACTCGATGATCCCAAGGGTCTCTTCCAACCTCAATGATTCTATGATTTATGATTCTATGGTATCAAAGCCCAGCTCTGCTGTGGGAACAAATGAAACCACGTTCAGCCACATCCACGCAGTAACTCAGACACTACAACGCAGAATTCAGCAGATTCCATTTAATGTCATGTGCATAAATCCATACATTTACATATGTCAATGGTTTCGATGTGCGTGATGCCAGGTCTTGAAAAATCTACTTGTTCATTTACATCTGGGAGCGTCGATTCTCTCAAGCAATCACCCCGGGGTGGCTTGGATTTTTTTTTTTTTTTTAATATAATTCAACCACATAGCTGCAAAGACAATACCACGAATTGAAGGTAAAGCATTCAGAGCTCATCCCTAAAATTCACAGGCAGCTCTGCAAATAACACTGCCAAGAAGCAGGGGGCAGGAAGAAATCCCCTCCCTTCCAGGGAAAGAAAGAACTGGTAAGAAATGGGTCTCGTTCCACATCCCAAGCACCAGTGAGGCCAAGCAGCAGAAGTAACACCCCAGCAATTCTTCAAGGAGGCTTTTGGCCAAGGCTGAGGAAGAACAGGGCAGAGAAGAAGGGATAAACCAGCCTCCCCCCACCCCCCCCAAAAAAAAAGAGAAGAAAAAAGAAATTACAGTTTCACTGCCATGTACTCACAGAAATGTCAGGGGGTTTTTTTTGTTGGGTTTTTTTTGGTTGGGTTATTTTTTTTGTTTGTTTGTTTGTTTCTTTGTTTTTGTTCTTGTTTTTGGTTGTTTTTCTTTTTTTCATTTAAGTGACCAGACTGACAGATCTGGGGTTCAGGGATGTTTACCCTGCCACCCACTCCATCCCAGCAGTTTTGGGGTAGATTTTTCAAGCCCTGGTGATGACTCCCAGGAAGGCTTCTCCCATCCGCTCCCGGCTCCCGCACGATCAGAATCTATTGCATAGCATTTATTTCAGATAAGGCACTGTTTTGCCCAACGTGAACAGCAATTCACAATCAGTGCAGTTTCCATACAGTCCAAATTTGATGGCCTACAGTGCAATAACACATAAAATTAAAGGCAAGGTTTGGAAGAATAAACCCAGCTTTAAATTTAAACTTAATATTAAAAAGATAAATGAAACTACATTTTTCAAAAGCCTTTTTATTTTCCTTCACCATTGTTGTTTTACAATACAAATATCACCTTGTGAATACACAAAAACCCTACAGAAGATAACTCTGCTTCACGTAAAATACAGAATGGATATATATATATATTTATATATATATTTTCTCTTCTTCATTCTTTAAAAAAACCTATTTTGTTCTGCACATTGGCAAGTTTAGGATAGAATCCTTCCCCAAACATACAGTATGTATGGTAGGAGTGAAACTTGTAATTACATGCAGTTTCTGCACAAATATTTTAAAGAAATAGATTATCTTTGTTGTTTTTCAACAACATTTCAATACAGGATGGAGAAACCATTCGTAGTTCACTCAGTGATCATTTGTAGAATTCTTAAAAAACAGGAATTCATGGCTGTTTTTCTTTTTAAAATACAGCTACCAAGTAGACAATAAAGTGATACCTTTTAGTGTGCCCTGCCCACAATGTGTGAGCAAGATCGGCCCCCTTTTATTTGGTTTTGCTTTTTTTTTTTTCCCTACACATGGCAATTTCAACATTATAAGCAAATTTCCAGTTTAATTTAGCTATAAATGCAAAAATTAGTAATTATACAGTATATATAATTCTGCTTTCATGGAATACTTTATTTTAAATAAAAACATGTAAGACTGCCTACTGACCATACAATCAAGACAAGAAAGGCACTAGAAACATAGACAAATCTCTCTCTCCCAAGAAGCATTTTCTTTAAATTTTAACTCTCTATTCTCTGACATGTAAAAATCTTTTTAAATTTAATTTTCATACACATTTTGAAAAATAAAGTTAGGAAATACTTAGAAAATCACTTTACAACTTTTTTTTTTTCTTCTTTTTTTTTTCTCTATTTTTTTTTGCACTTTTTGACACAGTCACTGCAGATTCTACAAAAGCAAGATTACCAAACCTTCCTGTGTCTATCATCTTATTCATAGCGCGGTGCAACAGGTAGAAAGATTTCTCAATTTTACCCAAGGCAGGTATATAGAAACCTTCATATAGTCATTTGCTAGAAAATGGCTTACAGCCCAATCTTTGGGGCAAGAGATATGAAAAGTATGTTTTCCCAAGAAAATAATATGCTTTATTCCCAGACGTGACTGGAAAGACCAGAACTTATGATATAAAAGCTTTCGTTTATGCTGTCGCATCATATACAAAGGAACATGGTGATGTTTAGATGTAAATCCCAAATCTATTAACAAGAAATGTATAACAGTGCATGATAAGTTAAATTTTCTTTATTGTTGTCCAACGCAGATCCTTTGGAGAGAAAAAAAGATCACAGTGCTTACCAGGTAACTGAACAGGTTAAGTCAAGGGAACTGTTAAAAGAAAGGGTTAGGGAGCGGCTGATTTTTTTTTTTATGGCATCTTCTCGCAGGGAGTTGTTAGCACTTGGGACAGGTCCTTTCCCCCGACTCTGTCCGTGGACACGCTGTTACGTGTCATTCACCAGGCGGCTGTATTTCACCGGCCGGCCCCGGTGCAGCACTGGCCAGGGGAAGGGCCAGTGGTAGGAGCGAGGTACAATCCCTTGGACATTCTTTTCAAAGTACTGGAAGGGCTTGTACCACCAGACCCTGGCAAGGAGGTTAGTTTGGGAAGCTTCTTTTAGCGCCTGCACAAAGATAATCACAAAAAAGAGAATTAGCAAAGAGCACGTCTCGCACGACTTCACTGCACGTCGCTGACTACCGTTCACTAGGGGTGTCCAACTCAGAGCTGTTCCCAAAAATCTCTCAATATCCAGAACGACCTCCCAAACAGATGGCATGGACAGAGATGAAGGGGAGCCAAGCTACTTTTCCATAGCATCCCTGCACACACCAAATGCTGCTCCCACCCTCATTTCCAAGACCCCAATGGTCCCATAGGAAAAGAAGGAATGGCCCAAGAGATCAGTCTCCCCTCTCCTTTGGGAATAAAAACTATTCAACCCAAAGCAGGGCTGTTTCCATGTGTGTCTCTGAAATGACGTGTGGCTCAAGAAGCCCAGCTGTGTGCCTGCAGAGCAATGACCAAGGCACATCTCAACCCATCCAGAGGAAGCAATGAGCCTGCCCTGCCCTCCACGTGCTCTCAAACCCATCCTTTGGCTTCTCCTGGCCATGGGCGAGCCACAGCTGGGACACAAGGGGTGGGCAGGCACCGAGGGGGTTGTCTCACTGCCCTGCTGCACGTGTTCAGTGCCGGAGCAGGGAAGCATTGTACCAGCCCACCAGAAAGGGCAAGCACGGGCCTTGTATGCTAGGCTTCCTTTCCACGTCATAAACTCACATGTGGAATCAATCCACTTTAGCCCTAGTGTGCTTTTGTTTTTAATGCTAAGGTCAGTCACAAGCCACAGTCCTCTGCACATGGAGCAGCACCAGGAATGAGAAACCAGCCCACAGATGTGTGCTCAGGTCAGGATCCAGGGATGGGCATTCCCCACCATCTCAGCAGCTTAGGCTGAGCCATCTTCTGAGTCACAGCACGCAGCAAAAGGGTTCCATTTCCACACAGGAAGGCAAAGGGCTTTTCTGAAGCCCTCACTAGCACTCAAGGGCAATCCTGACTTCAGCAGCTTCCAGCTTGGAAGCGTGGCCACTCAGCACCATTGTTTGGACAGCCCAGGAGCAAATGCAAAGCCTGGAAGTCACTCTGGTGCTGTATGACCAAGAGTTACAAAGTTTGGACATGGAATTCTATCAAACACAGTGGTTCCCAGACAGACTGAACACCAAAGTGCATTCTCTGTAGCATTTGGTGGTAAAAATGTACCTCAGGGCTTAACTGTGGTGAGTTGCTTCAAGGAGCATCAAACCCAGTGGAATAATATGGCGTGGGAGCCAGAAGACCCTGATCAAAATCTGTACCATCACCACATTAATTAATGTCCTATCATCATACTATGTCTTTCTTAAACATAATTAACTGGAGTCGTATGTAATAGAGAAGCAAAATTTCACTGAATTTCACTGAATTTTTAGAGTTGGAAGGGACCATAGAGATCATCTAGTCCAACTCCCCTGCTGAAGCAGGATTGCCTAGAGCTTGTCAGAGCATGTTACTCAGGAGCATCCAGGTGGGGCTTGAAAATCTCCAGAGAAGGGGACTCCACACCCTCCCTGGGCAGCCTGTTCCAGGGCTCTGTCACCCTCACTGTGAAGAAGTTTCTCCTCATATTTGAGTGGAACCTCTTCTGTTCCAACTTGTGCCCGTTGCCCCTCGTCCTCTCACTGGGAACCACTGAAACCAGTCTGACTCCCTCCTCCTTCAACCCTCCCTTGAGATCCTTGTCAGCATTAATAAGGTCTCCCCTCAGCCTTCTCTTCTCCAGGCTAAAGAGCCCCAGCTCTCTCAGCCTCTCCTCATCAGGAAGATGCTCCAATCCCTCCTATCTTTCTTGACGTTGCACAGAAAATATCTGGACACCGATTTGCTGTTACAGGCCTAAGAGTAAGTGTCTCTTAACTCAGTAGGTCTGTCCCATGGATAACAGACACGCACATGTTCTCTGACGTGAGCTCACAACGCTGAGGAATCTCCCACTGATCTAGTTCATTGGCAGGAAAATAGGAACAGCAAGAATGACGTAAGACCTCATTTAGACTTCTGCCTTTGACCTTTGCATCATTTGCCAGTGCTTTCTGCTTGAGTATTACAGACCATGCTTTGTCCTCTCCAATTAAGTGCTGTGTCTCCTCCTGTTTTCATCGCCCTATTTTTCACGCCTTCCCAGAGACAGGCCTTAGGACAGGAGCAGCCTGTTCTCTACTGCGCTATCCTTCAAAAGAAAAACATTTCCCTTGGCCAGGGAAACTTCCTGCCACTTGGGAAGACTTTGAAACACTTGTTCAGTTTTAGTGAGGCCTCATAGTAGTCTTCAAGAGACCTGTCATCCAGCTAAAGGGCACAAGCCACAGACTTCAAGGAAAACCCAGTTGCCTTCAACAAACAAAAAAACCCCACCAAAAAACCAAGGCACACACCACACCCCACCTCCCATCTCTATGGGTTGGTCTGCTATCACAACACGAGCCAATTAGCCCAAATTCAGAAAAAGAGAGGCCTGCCTGCCTGTGGGTAGACCTACAGATATATTTGAGGTCAAGACACAAAACGAACCCAAGGGATGATGCCTCTTTCTTTCCTGCAAACACAAGGTCAGGAGGGAAGAGAGGGGCACTCCACAAGCCATGGGTAAGTCCACTCCTACTCCAGCAGAAAGGCTCAAGGCAAAGTGTGGATGTTCACCCATCACCACACTACGGCAAAGTCACAGAATCCCATGGGGTTGGAAGGGACCTCTGGAGCTCATCTAGTCCAATGCCCCCTGCCAAAGCACGTCCACCCACACCAAGTTGCACAGCATAGCGACCAGGAGAGTTTTGAATATCTCCAGAGAAGGAGAATCCACCACCTCTCTGGGCAGCCTCTGCCAGGGCTCTGCCACCCTCACAGGAAAGAAGTTCCTCCTCATGTTTAGGTGGAACTTCTTATGTTCAAGTTTGTGCCCATTCCCTCTTGTCCTGTCCCCTGGGCACCACTGAAAAAGCACTGGCCCCATCCTCCTGACACCCACCCTTTAAAGTATTTATAGGCATTTATAGGCCCCTCAGCCTTGTCTTCTCCAGACTAAATCGTCCCAAGTCCCTCAGCCTTTCCTCATAAGAGAGTTATGAGTCACGTGGATCCAAAGACTGGGAGACACTCACTTGCTGGTTGGCCATTGTGTGATACCACCAGAAAAGTCTTGTAGTGATGTAGTATTACGAGTCAAGTGGATCCAAAGACTGGGAGAAACTCACTTGCTGGTTGGCCATTGTGTGATACCACCAGAAAAGTCTTGTAGTGATGTAGTAAGCCACCACCACGTCCACAGTGTAGTGGTCATGAGCAAGAAGGATGCAGAACATCCCAACCATGCTGAGTGCCCAGCAAATCCAGTGATACCACCAGAGTCGCCGTGGGGAATCTGCAAAGAAGGACAAGTAGTGATTATTTCAAAGTATAACATTATCAGTGTGCAAGACTACTGCTGTAATTGTAAAAAGATTGCCGTGGGGAATCTGCAAAGAAGGACAAGTAGTGATTATTTCAAAGTATAACATTATCAGTGTGCAAGACTACTGCTGTAATTAATAGAGGGCATGGACCGCAATCCTGGGTGGGTAGCGTGATGCCTGCATTAAGATTAAAAGCAGGAATGCTGAGGTGACAAGTAAGTATCATTCTCTTAAGGCATAATTTAAAACTGTACTTGGGGGTAATCAGATCCTGGGAAAATAGAAAGGTTATGAAATCTTTGAGAAACAGGCCCAATACATAATGATATAATAATGATTAATCAGTAAAATGAACTGATTTGTATTCCAATATTGATTCTACATAGATGACAATCCATTCCACTTGCCTTTCACAAAAGATAAATGCATACATTGAGGCCTGACTCCTGTAAAATGAGCAACCTCACATTTAGCATGGCACTCCTCTCTCTCTGAACTAGGAGAGTTCATTCATCAGTCAGAGTGCAGTGAAGGTTTCAATTATATTCTAAACAGAGCATTTTATTTTTTTAAAAAAATATTTAATTCAGACATCAACATGGTAAAATATTTTACTTTGTCTCCAAAGGTCTCTTTTTCAGTACACCCTACGTCTTCGAAGTTCTATTATTTTTATTTTATTGATAAAGTGTGCACTTTTACTTTAATTATATTTACCGATCAGCACAACAATAATTTTTCAATTAGCAAGGAACGATACAACAGGAAATTCTGCTTGAACAGTAACAAACTTACACTCTTTGATAAATAAGTATGTAAGAGTTAATATGACGGTGTGGCCGCTGTACAGATAGTCGCCGCACATGTTGTGGGATCCTGTGATGGACAATCCTCCACCAGCAATCAACTTCATTATCCTTCGCAGATGAGATTCCCAGTCTCCAAAAAGCTGGTGGAAAAATAAAACACAAAAGCACAGTGAAATATCAGCACAAACCTTTCAGAGCTCAAAGCAATGGTGATAGCCAGCAACTCTGCCTTTCAGTTAGTCTTTTTGCTTCGATACACAAGATCAATCATTAAATCCACAGACTTTTCCAGAAGGCAGCAGAACATTTCTTGAGGAGAAAAAGACTGGAAATGAAATGTGAGTTTATTTCTTCATTGATGCTTTGCATCTATTATAGCTAGTGTCCACGTGAGCACCTCCATCCATTTTTCTAAAATATATTTTATTTGAAGTATTAAATGTATGAAGAATCAAGGAAATAACTACAATTTCCCTATAAATACAATATCCCAAAGGGCTACTGTTTTATCTTATACTCACAATACAGATCAAAAAGATACAGAAAAAAGGTAATTTTATTTACACAGGTATTTGTGCATGTATATATGTGTGCAAAAACCCTTTACACCAGGTTCCTTCCAGTTGCAATAAAAAACGTGGCACCTTTTCAGTGTAATATCAAAGCAAAAAATCTGGTCCAAAAGTTGTTAAATTCCTGCCAGTGGCTAAACTTGTGGTAAAACAGGGAGGTGAGCAGAAAACATTTTCTGTTATTTATAAGTACTTATTGGTGCTACCGCATAAAGGTGTAATCTTTCTCCCAGGTTCTGTTGGTAGCCTTTGCTAATGTTTGTGGCTATGCTGGAAAATTATTTTTAGCGGGAATCTTCAAGCAGAGCTAATAGGTTCAGATTTCTTTTTACTCATATTCTTGCACTGTGATACATAATGAGCATATAAATATATATATATATATGAACCTCACATATGTGTAATGAGCATCTAAATATATATATATATATATATATGAACCTCACATATGTACAGTGAGATTCAGAATAACGACTCTTGGAAAACATGAGTTCTGTAATACATTCTCAAAAATCCAGCTTCACCAATAAAAAGGAATTAGAAATATTTCCAGTGATTGCTAGAATTTTGTCATGTTCTTTAAACATCTGTTTTTCCTTCTGTTCAAGAGGCAATGCACTTGAAAAATAAATCACGCTTAATTTAATTCAATTAATCTTGTTCATAACAGCACAGGCCCTACAGATGATAATCTAAGAGAAAACAGGATGAACTGCCCAAGCTGTATGTTCAGGTGTCAAAACCTAGATTCAATGCACAGAAGAGAGCATCTCACTCCAAACTCTGCAGCCTCTCAGTGCCCCACCTTGGAAAGTCTTCAAATTTGTTTCTTTCCACTTCACATTTCAAGAGAAACATATCTGCTGTTTGTCAGAGCACGGTGCCAAACTTCTGTGCTGGCTTTAACTCACATAATCCACATGAGCAATGGGGAAGTTCCTCCACACCTGATGGGTTTGCCCTGACCCACCTTCAACCCATGATGTTGGCTCAGACGGTATTTCTGAAAAAACTTCAATTTTCCTTAGGAAAGGCAAATCTACTTTAAATTTTAAAAGAGGGATAGATGTGGTGCTGAGGGACATGGGTTAGTGGTGTTTTTGGCTGTGTTAGGTTGATGGTTGCACTCAATGATCTTAAAGGTCCCCTCCAACCTAGATGATTCTAAGCAAACCAAGTCCTGGTGAGGACACTCCTCTCTTTCCTCTGAGGTGACCAAAGGGCAGCTGGCATTATCCCAAGACTTTGATTTTGCTGCTCCCAGGTCTAAATCAAGCCCAAGTATTAAACAAATCCACAAAGAAAACGTATGCTGTGGGGCAAGCACAGCCAGGACGTACGGAGCACCTCCCAGACCCAACAGACAGCAGGAACCGTCTACGCTCCAAGGAGCAGGACTAACAGATCAGCGTGTGTGACCACAAGTGTGCTGCATTCTTACATCATTTTATGAAGTTTTAAAATCCATGCTAACCATTTAACTGTCAGAAGGAAACACAGACCCTCCTGGGCTGGCCATTATAGGCGCGTTTTCCTTTTGTTTTAAAGCTCAGTCTTGCTTTAAGAAGTGGAAATTATTAATTTCTGAAAGATTTAAACAGGCTTTTTGCTGCAATTAAACATTTCCTGCTAAGAGTTCCTTACAAAACATTAAAATGCTCACCAAAGCCCACTCTTCACAACCATATATAACTCAATAAGGTGTTGAGAGGTTATTCTTTTCCCACCAGTATATTTATAGCTTTCAAGAAAGCCCAGCTAATCCTTAGGCTTATCGGGGTGACGGAGGAGCCCAACACAGGCTTGTTGTTACTTGAGTAATGAGACGGACTGGCCAACACTGTAAATTTCCAGAAGTGGCAGATTTACTCCCTTCAGCTCATAAATAACTCTTTCTCCCACAATTTCATAATGGCTGACTGATCAAATACAATGTTGACTCTTTGCCCACTTGCTTTCCTTTACAAAAGACCTTGGTCCCTCAGAAAGCCACACGTGGCTTGGCAAATCTCTGCCTCTTCAGACTAAGGGCACAGTATGTTTGTTGGCTTTAGGAACCAAAGCACTGCAGCTTTGTTTGTCCACACCAGCAATCCTCACTGAAACAGCGGCAGCACGTGTACTAAGTCAGACCAGGGTTTTACTGCTTCTAAGTCAGTGATTTTACTACCTCTCATCTGACTTATGGCTGTACACACAAAGCCATTGAACTGTGCACGCAGCAGACATTTCACTTTTTTTTTTCCCCCACAGAATCACAGAATGCTATGGGGTTGGAAGGGACCTCTGGAGATCATCTAGTCCAACCCCCTGCCAAAGCAGGGCCACCCAGAGCAGGTCCCACAGGAACGTGTCCAGGTGGGTTTGAATGTCTCCAGAGAAGGAGACTCCACCACCTCCCTGGGCAGCCTCTGCCAGGGCTCTGCCACCCTCACAGCAAAGAAGTTCCTCCTCATCTTTAGATGGAACTTCCTGTGTTCAAGTTTGTGCCCATTTCCTCCTGTCCTGTCCCTGGACAACACTGAAAAAAGACCAGCCTCATCCACCTGACACCCACCCTTTAAGTATTTATAAGCATTAATAAGATCCCCCCTTAGTGTTCTCTTCTCCAGACTAAAAAGACCCAAGTCCCTCAGCCTCTACTCATAAGAGAGATGTTCTAGATCCTCCAGGCCCCTCATCATCTTTGTAGCCTCTGCTGTCCCCTCTCCAGCAGTTCCCTGTCCTTCTGGAACTGGGAAGCCCAGAACTGGTCCCAGTGCTCCAGATGGGGCCTCCCCAGGGCAGAGCAGAGGGGCAGGATGACCTCCCTCCACCTGCTGCTCACACTCTTCCTGATGCATCCCAGGATTCCACAAGGGCACGTTGCTGGCTCATGGTCATCCTGTTGTCCACTAGAACTCCTCAGAGGTGCAGGACCCTACACTTGCCCTTGTTGAAGTTCATCAGGTTCCTCTCTGCCCAACTCTCCAGCCTGTCCAGGTCTCGCTGGATGGCAGCAGGGCCTTCTGGGGTGTCAGCCACCCCTCCCTGTTTTGTGGCATCAGCAAACTTGCTGAAGTCAAGGTAGACAACATCCCCTGCCGTCCCCTCATCTATCCATACAGTCATCCCCCTCTTTCTTGACCTTAAATCAAGCTATAGCACAAACAACCCCAGGAGGGGCACGAAGATGAACTACTCTGGAGAAAGAGCACTTGTGACTAATATATGCACCTTGTTCCCTACCATAGAAGTCCAGTCCGTATGAGATTGCATATCCCCACCACAAACAGTGTGTTGCAGTAAGGGCCACGTTGACACCAATGCTTGTGTGATATGAGCTGGACGCGATACCACCATCCCTGTCCCATCTCCACCCCGAGCAGGCCAACTACAAGGCTATTACCTAAGCACCTCTGTCTCAATAGCTTTGTTTCAGCCACAGCTTTTGCAAGCCCATTTTATTCCTTAGCACAACAAACAGGAGTCATTTCTAGGTTGGGGAGGAGACAGCAAGTCCTCATCATAACCCAAGTGCAAAAATGTATGCAGGGACAAACAGCTGCAAAGGAGACATGAGATTCACCAGCCTTAGAAAAGCCTCTGTGGGCCATTCTCAAACACAAGTCATACTTGGGTTTGACACACCGCATTGTTTAGAAAAGAGTCATGCATGCCACCTCCATGGGTTGCACACCTTTAACTGCTTCAGTAGAGATGGAAAAATGCTGACTGTGCAAATTCACTGAAAATGCTAGAGCAATTGCCCAGGTTAGCACTTTGAAAAGGGTGGGAATGCCTGCACTGCCCCAAGGTAACCAACGCCTTCACGGAGAGGGAGGCTGCTGGTCTGCAGAAGGACATCCCCATCGTGCCAAACCAGTATTTTCAAATTAGTAACAGTTATTGAGAAAGTGTCGCTCGTGGTTTTGGTAACAGCAGGACAAGGGGAAAACATACAGATTACAATACGGAAAGGCAGTCAGGAGAAGTTTACCTTTGGAGAACACTTGAAATGCATGCCAGGTACTGGGAGTGTAGTCACATACATTGTAATACACCGATACAGGTATAGTGTGCCAACTATACAAAAAAATCTTCTGCTAATTATAGACCTAGAAGAAAAACAAAAAAGAAAAAAATAAAAGAGAGGAAAAGAAATAAGGTCACTCAATGCCAAAAAATATGTGAAGGTAAATAAACTACCAACCGTTCTCTTCTCCATGCTTTTGAAACTCGTGACAGTATCAGCTTACACTTGAAATACTTATTTTACAAATATTCCCACGCTTTACAGGCCAGAAACACAAGTCAACTAACATTACCCATGAAGGTGATTACAGTAAATACAAGGATTAGAATATAAAAGCCTGCGCATATTTAGTGCTGAAGATGTTAAAAGGAATTTCATGCCCCATGCTCCTCCATTAGCTTTGAGCAGTCACTAATTTTCTATTCAAGTCAGAGGATATAGTTGCAATATTTTCATTATCAGATGAAAAGGAGCACGTTTATTTCAGCTGACACACACATTTAGTAATTACAAAGGGCTGCTTGAGAAAAAAACCACTTGTACGACCCAAATGAGTAAAAACACATCTTTCCTGAACAGCATTAAAGAGGAAACAATTCACATCAGCAACGAAACCTCCAAAATCCAGATTTAGAGCTGCCTTGGCTTCAGGACAGACTGTTTTCACAAGAAACCACTTTAAGGCAAGCAGTCAGAGCTGCAAAGAGAGGCACGTATTGAGGGCTGCCTGCAAGTTGCTGATGTATGCGGAGAGGGCAGATGCATTTCTGGGGGACCGTGCGGCAAAACCAGCAAGAGCACACAGCCTCACGAGCTGCAGCTTCGACTCAGGAGTGCCAGCCAGCCCCAAAACTGGCCCGTTGAGTTTCACTGCTGGGTACCAGCTAATAACAGCACCAGGAAAGTGCTACGGTGATGAAAGCCCTTCTGGCACATCCATTAGGACAGGAGCTCAGAGTCCACCTATCTGAGTTCAGAGTTCAGCAAAGAGAAATCACTGCCAGCGTTACAAAAATCAAGGGCAAATCCAGTTACAGCACTTTGTGACTTGAAACACTTCAACCTTTTGTGCCCTATTGGTTTCAGTTGAGTTTAAATCGTTGTTTTTCCCAATTACGACCATTTGGGGAATACAAGGTTTACAACACAAGCTGTGAGTTCTGGCATTCATTTGTTGCTATTTTTAAGCATTCACTTCTTAAAAAAATATTTCTATCAAGTCAAGCTCTTTTCAAGCTCAGAATTTGCCATCTTTTTTATTTTTAATAGCTTTTGGCAGAGATGTTAAACTGTTGTGCTCCACTCGGAGGAGTATGACTTTGCAGTGCCAGATCAATAACAACTCGGGTGTCTAAATTTATCAGAAAAGCTTCAATTATTACAGTGTCATGCATTTTGCACTCAAGTGATCACTACTGTTGAAACATGGTATTTCATATTTTCTCTTCCTCCTCCTGGTATAAACATGAACAAAGCCAGGAGTTAAAAATGATACTTTATTAATGTAGCTCCATGGACTGAAACTTAAGAGTGGAAGACACCACGCCATTGGGGCAGTGGCTTTCCTCTGTGTTTTGTATGGGGAATTTTTCTCTCACAAGGGTGATCCAATACAGATCTCAAACTTGTGCCTGGTTTTACAACCAGCCATGAACTTGCTTTGCTTTATAACCTGGCATAAAGACAAACAGGGGCACTGGGGATTAAAGACTGAGCAGCACTGTAGTTCGAGAGAGTGAAGACATGGCAGTGTTTTACTGAGCACTGAACCTTTTTTATTAAAATTACCCATGAATCTATGTAGTTTAGCTGGATATAACATGATTTAGCTTAGGAAACTCTGTGTCAATGTGCTCTGTATTGTAATATTAAAAAAACCAACCAACCTGTTAAAAGCCCTTCTCAAAAGAAATCGTGTGTGCGCACACGTGTGTGATTACGAGCCAGCCTGCAAGAACAACCTCTAAGTGTACTACTGGCCACGAAAACTTTTATTACAACTATCCAGACCTCCTCTAATGTGAATAGAGAGCACACTGCTTTTTCAATCCCCCGAGTGTGCAGACTGAGTAAGATGTCAAGCGTGGCCAAACCCCAGCCTTTTACTCCTCCCAAAACATCTGGGAATGCTTTCCAGAGAGGTTAATTCTGCCTCGGCAGCTCGCCTGGACTCCTCGAGCTCCCCACAGTATCTGCAGAAAAAGGCTTGGGCAGACCAGAGACCCCAGCCAAGACCTGCACACCCACCTGGCTCCTGCTTTCTGATGAGAAACCAAACCAACTCAATGCCATGGGCAGTGTTCTATAGGGATGTTCAAAGAAAGTTGTTGCTGATTTCCTTGCACCAAATCTAGCACCTTGCCCTCAAGCCAGCCAGAAACTCCAGTCTCTACCTGAAGGTAAAATTAATTTTCAGGCAAGAAAGCAGTACCAGGGGCCAAGGGAAACCCTGCACTGTGCTCTCCTGGACAGACACACTCAACGCCTTCTTCCATTTGGGCGTCAACTTTGCAGTCCAAAAGAGAAGACATGTAGGTCATATTCAACATAATCATGCAACCTCTGGACTAAACAAGGAAGACCTTAGTCATCAGTATCATGAATGACATGTCTCTATCATCCTTCATTGCTTGGGAGAACAGCAGGCTCAGCTTGGATGAAATCAGGTTATTGGCAAATAACGGATATGGTAGGATAAGCAATAGGATTTTCACTGCTTGGCAAGGAAAAGTGTTTTGAAAAGTCTGAAACTATGAAGTTGTCTCCTTCAGTCAAAGGCTCAACTCAACCACTGACTGCAGTTGAGCTCACGGGTAACAATGCTGCTGGTTCATTGGTGACCCTGCGCTTGCACTTGGAGACATCCATGAACAGTATCTCTATCATCTGAGTAGGCGAGGAACCAGGTCTCATCCTGCCCAGCAATCACCTGGCTTCACGTCTTCAGATGTCGAATGAAGTGTGGCAATGGCCATCCCTGACACCATCAGAGGGCAGAGAAGTGAGGAAGGTCTAGCTGGCTTAATTCCTTCGCTTTATTCTTGAATTAAGTTTCAAAAGGAGGTGACAACCCATGCCACAAAAGTGACTCAGCTCTTTTTATAGCACTTAGCGGCTCACCATCCAAAGCCACGAGAATGAGGTCCTCCAGATAAAGACATCTCACTGTGCTCCTGTTCCCCTGAGTGCTTCTCCCGTTATTCCTTTTCTGCTGCTTACTGACAGTTTAGGACTCTTGGACTTTGATACATCTACTCATTGACACAAAAGAAGACTTTTGGTCTCCAAAGCATTAAGTAATCAGTACACGTGCTGAATGAGCGCTGAGCAGCTTATTCCAGGGCTGACACTGGGAACAAAAGGCTCTGTGACTCCCTGGCATCTTCCCCTAACACCAGAAAGAGCCCTTCCAAAGCAAGTAGAAGTAAACACATAAAAGCAAATGGGGACATGGGGTGGGGTGGGAGTTGTGGAGCAGGGATGGGAAATCATCATGTCTATCAGTGATACCAAGATACTCTGTGATCAAGTCAACCCACGTCTCACTGTTTCAAAATCTCCAAGGACCTTATGGCCTCTGCTGTTCTTAATGTAAAAACTCTGCTCAGCTCCATCACAGGACGTTTGATCCCTCACATTGCCCTATTAACCTGACACCTCATTCTTGAGAGCAACCCCATGTCACCTTCTCTAGATTCTTCCCTTGGTTTTGAACAACATTTATGCTGAGAGACGCCGAGAAAGTTAATAGTCCCCACATTGACCGTGGGCAGCTGGAGCACAGGGAGAGGAGTGCAGTTACCAACAGAAGAGTGATACTGGAGCTTACAGCCATGAACAAAATGAGAGGCCAAGCTGGGGTAAATCCTTCCTCCTGTACATATGTGAACATTAAAAAAAAAAAAAAAAAAAAAAAAAAA